ACGCACCCACTGACAAGCCGACTCTGATCACTGGCAGCTCCATAGTCAGAAACGTGGAATTAGAGACTCCAGCAACCATAGTTAAATGTTTACCTGGGGCCAGAGCGGGCGACATTAAATCTTATCTGAAACTGCTGGCTAAGGATAAGCGTAAATACAGTAATATTGTTATTCACGCTGGCGGTAACGACACCCGGTTACGCCAATCGGAGGTCACTAAAATTAATGTTGCTTCGGTGTGTAAGTTTGCCAAAACAATGTCGGACTCCGTAATTTTCTCTGGCCCCCTGCCTGATCGGACCAGTGACGACATGTTTAGCCGCATGCTGTCCTTCAACCGCTGGTTGTCTAGGTGGTGTCCTGAAAACAACATGGGCTACATTGATAATTGGAAAACTTTTTGGGGGAAACCTGGTCTGATGCGGAGAGATGGCATCCATCCCTCTTTGGATGGAGCAGCTCTTCTTTCTAGGAACATGGCCAGTTTTATTAGTCCTCCATGACAACCCAGGGTCCAGACCAGGAAGCAGAGTCGTAGTTTAACCCACCCCTCTGCAGCTTCTGTACTGTTACCCACCCACTACCCCATAGAGACAGTGTCCTGCCCACGGCCAAAACCACACAGATTAAATATCAGGCTTAATAAAGCAAATCATGGAAATCTCATAAATATTAGAACAAATTTAACTGAGCAGAAAACTAGAAAAATTAAATGTGGGTTGTTGAACATTAGATCCATTTTTTCTAAGACTTTGTTAGTTAATGACTTGATTTGTGATAATCAGATCTCTTTGCTCTCTCTCACAGAATCCTGGCTGCAGCAAGAGGACTATGTTAGCTTAAACGAGTCGACTCCTTCAAATTATTTAAATCATCATATTGTTCGAAGTACAGGGCGAGGAGGAGGAGTAGCAACCATTTTTCATTAGGACTTATTAATCAGTCCCTTACAGATTAATAGTTACAGTTCGTTTGAACATCTTATTCTTAGTTTTCCTAATCCAGATTGCAAAACTGTAAAACCACTCTTGTTTGTAGTTTTATATCGTCCACCAGGCCCTTACTCTGAGTTTTTGGATCAGATCTGGTTTTTTATCTGATTTGGTGCTAAATACTGATAAGGTCATTATAGTGGGGGATTTCAACATTCATGTGAACATTGAAAATGATTGCCTCAATGTAGCCTTTAGTAATATCTTAGACTCAATTGGTTTTACTCAAAGAATACATAGCTCCACCCACTCCTGCCATCATACATTGGACCTTGTTCTGACTTATGGCATTGAGTGTGAGGAAATAACGATCTTTCCACATAATCCAGTCCTCTCGGACCACTTTCTGATAACCTTTGAGTTTTTTATAACTGAGTTCTCGAGACATGAAAGTAAATTTCATTATAGTCGGTCTCTATCTGACAACGCAGTTGCGTCTTTTAAAGCAACTGTTCCATCTTTACTGTCCTCAGCATCTCAGAGGCATGTAGCAGAGGGCAATATTCTCAGTTCTAGCCCCTCACAAATTGATGCCTTAGTTCATCATGTTAATTCCTCTTTACGTGTGGCATTAGATGATGTTGCCCCTTTAAAAAAGAAGGTAATTAGGGACAGGAAGTTGGCTCCCTGGTTTAACCTCATCTACGAGCCTTAAAACAAAACTCTAGGAAATTGGAGAGAACATGGCGCTCTACGCACCATGAGGACGCCTACCTATCCTGGAAAAATAGTCTTGTGCTTTATAAAAATAAGCTTCAACAAACTAGAACTGCTTATTTCTCAGCATTAATTGAGGAGAATAAGCATAATCCTAAATTTATTTTCAGTACAGTTGCTAAACTTACACAGAATCATAGCTCTGAACCATCTATTCCCTTAGCCCTCAGCAGCAATGACTTCATGGGATTTTTTACAAGTAAAATTAATTCTATTATAAACAAAATCTTAAGCATCCTCCCTAATGCGATTTCTTCTTCCTCAGTAAGTGAGGCAGCATCAGAGGTGACTGTAGAACCTCATCTGTGCTTGAACCGTTCTGATCCAGTTGAGCTTTCAGAGTTATCAAAAATATTAGCTTCATCTAAACCTTCAACTTGCATTTTGGATCCAATCCCAACCAAATTATTTAAAGAAGCATTTCCTTTGATTACATCTAGAATGGGGGCAGTAACCAATCTATCCTTAGTAAATGGGTATGTACCACAAGATTTTAAGGTTGCTGTAATCAAACCTTCACTTAAGAAGCCTTCTCTGGATCCAGATGACCCAATGAATTATAGACCAGTATCTAACCTTCCATTTTTATCCACAGTCCTGGAGAAAATAGTGGCCATCCAAGTATGTGAGCATTTAAACACTAATGCTCTGTTTGAGGAATTTCAGTCTGGTTTTAGAGAGTATCACAGCACTGAAACTGCATTAGTGAGAGTTACAAATGATATTCTCATGGCCTCAGATAAGAATCTTGTGTCTGTTCTAGTCTTGTTAGATCTCAGTGCTGCCTTTGACACAGTTGATCACAATGTTCTTTTAGAAAGACTTGAACATGTTGTAGGGATCAAAGGAACAGCGTTAGGCTGGTTTAAATCCTACCTGTCTGACAGATTTCATTTTGTAAATGTACATGACAAATCTTCTTCATACTCCAGGGTTACTTGTGGAGTACCACAGGGTTCAGTGCTTGGACCAATTCTTTTTACTATATATATGCTCCCAATTGGTAAAATCATTAGACAACATGGGATAAATCTCCACTGTTATGCTGACGATACCCAGTTATATTCATCCATTAACTCTGATGAACCTAATCGGTTTTGTAGATTACAGGCTTGTCTTGAGGACATACAAAATTGGATGACTCAAAACGTTTTGCTTTTAAATCAAGACAAGACGGAAGTTCTCATCTTTGGTCCTGAAATTCAGAAAAGGATTGCTTAGTCAATCACCTGACCTGAATGGCATTACATTAATCTCCGAGAACAAAGTAAGGAACCTTGGTGTTATCTTTGACCGGGACATGTCATTCAAATCCCACCTTAAGCAGGTTTGTAAGATTTCCTTTTTCCACCTTCGGAATATTGCTAAGATGAGAAGCATACTTTCCAGGAGTGATGCTGAAAAACTAGTTCCTGCATTTATTACATCAAGACTGGATTACTGTAATTCATTACTCTCAGGAAGTCCACAGAATGTAGTTAAAAGTCTTCAGCTTGTCCAAAATGCTGCAGCTAGAGTTCTGATGAGAATTAAAAAGAGAGATCATATCTCTCCTGTCTTAGCTTCCCTACATTGGCTACCTGTTAAATTCAGAATAGATTTTAAGATCCTTCTTCTCACATATAAAGCTCTTAATAATCAAGCTCCATCATACATCAGTGACCTGATTGTTCCATACGTTCCTAACCGAGCACTTCACTCTCAGACTGAAGGTCTACTGGTGGTTCCCAGAATATCTAAAATTATGATGGGAGGCAGATCTTTTAGTTATCAGGCTCCTCTCCTGTGGAACCAGCTCCCAGTCTTAGTCCGTGAGGCAGACACTTTGTCTACTTTTAAGAATAGGCTTAAAACATTTTTTATTTGATAGGGCCTACGGTTAAAATCTGATGTTAGCCTAAATAAGGACAAGTGGGGGAGTAGAGGGAGGTGGAGTGTACAGTCGGTAAAGACGGCTCTCCCTTGCCCTGCCTCCAATATGCCTCATTCTAAAAAGGCTAGGTTATCCAGAGTTATCTCTGTAGTTATGCTGCTATAGGCTTAGACTGCTGGAGGATACAATGACCACTTTCCACACTCACCTACTTTGTTCTACAATCTGCCCTTTAACTGTATTACTTCCTGCTATTTCAGCTGTTAACTTTATTTTCTCTCTAAGTGTTTTTCTCCCCAGAAGAAGCTACAATGATGTTCTGCTGAGCTGTGGTGGCCTCATGGAGGGGGCCATCGTCTAGCACACTGCTGCTAACCACTTAAACATTCTCCCTCTCCTGATAACTTTTTACTCTCTTTGATGTTGGATGTGCTACTACTAGTTTACCCGTTTAATTATAGATCCACTAGGATAAATACAATAAAGTTTATCTCTCACCAAATAGAATATTTACTAAGACATCACAATGTAACCACAGAATCAGAAACTTTTTTCTGATTGGCTTAATGAATTGACCTGTATTGGAATGGTTATTATGTGAAGTACCTTGAGACGACTCTTGTCGCGATTAGGCCCTATATAAATAAACTTGAATTTAATTAAATTAAAAGTTTAAATACATGAGGAGCTGGGACCTTGAGTGATTGGAAGACAAGAGGCAAGTGGGAGCAATTAACATGGACACAGAACTGAACGGAAACTGGGGAGACAAGACAAACTGTGACACATACATTGGTGATCTTAGTCCCTACACCCCCAGCATGTCCATGAGTTCCAGTGACCAAAGCCTACTGTTTGTGGAGCACCAGGCTAAAGACCAAAGGTGACAGATCATCTGCTGCTGTGGCCCCCAGACTCTGAACCTCTCTCCCCCTGAGCCTGAGATCAGTGGACTCAGTGGTCTCCTTTAAACTCACCCGTTAAGGCTTTGGTGGGACCTTCAACACCACCACCTTGTTCTTATTCTGCCTTTCCTGGAATCCACTGATTTCCCTCTTTCCTATAAAATTTCTCTCTCCCTTTCCATTATATTTTTAATATAATGTTTACTTTTTTCTTTAATTTTAAACATATTTTTATTCTTTTTTTTACTTTTTAAATTTTATTAAATTTTTTTGTGAAGCTCCTCGTGATTTTTATGTTGAGAGGTGCTAAACTGTTCTGGGTCTTATTTTGAAAAGTCGAAGCGGAAATTACGTCTCTTCAGTTTCCGATGTTTCGTTTTCACTGATAGGAGAGAATTTCATGTTCTATTATAATGTGAGCTTTTCTCGGTTTACCTGTGAAGTTCTGGGACTTTCTGAAGATAACCCGCAGGTTTCACTAACTACCCGTCCAGGTTAGTTAGCTAGCTTGTCTCGTGCTACGCAGCAAATACGAAACGTTTGACATGAAAGGAAAACGAAATCGTCATTTTCCAGAAGCGATCGTTTATTTTACAGCACTGTCGTGCGTGCTTATTTCGTTATTATTATTGGAACCGTAATCTAACAGATTTTCATGACACTTCTTTGTTCGTAAGCTTTTTGGATAAACCTGAGTCTCTTACATGGTGGAGGTTGGAGTGTGACTACAGGTGTGGACAGCGTTGATGCCATTCCCATGTAAACATTCTGTGCTTTAGGCGCATTTATTCATCTATAAGAACCGATTTTGGTTGGAATCCTGAATCTGAGGTTTAAAGTTCAGTTGCTATAAGTTGAACATGTTTTTTATGTAAGTAGAGGTCATGTGATCTTACGGAAGCCGGTGTGTTTTGTTTATTTCAGACAACATGAAGCTACGGGTCCGGATCAACAAGCAGACCAGCAGGGTGGACTTACCTGGAGAAGAACCCACTCTCACAGAACTCTCAGATGTCATCAAGCAGACACTGCTGACTTCTACTGGACTTGGGTCAGACTTCCGGATGGATCCATTTATTCTCTTTTTCTTGTCTCTTAACCAGCGTGTGTCCCAACGGCTCAATGCTCCGTTTTCTTCATCTCCTTTCAGTCTGAACACAGAATTCAGCTTGTCTCTGAATGGCTCTGAGCTTCTGTTGGACTCTGGTCAGACCCTGTCTTCCTTTGGGATCGTTTCTGGAGATCTGATCTGTGTGCTGCTCCGGCAGCCTCCAGCGGTCGCCGTGACCTCATGGGAAACCAGCTCCACAGCCCCAATAACTGACGATCAGCAGACCGCCACTCAGGTGAGCTCACAGTGACGCAAAAGTGGGTACGCAGTGTATGCGACACATGGGGGCGCCAAAGCAATGATGCAAGAACATTTTAGTCTGACGTTCCTCTGTTTAATAACAGCCGTGTTCTTGTCCATTTGTGTATCTGCTAATTATATCATTAATAAGAGAGAAGCACATCAGTGATTAGGCGCCCCTCCGCTTGTTAACCCCCCACACCAAAACAGCGCTCTGCCACCACACCACTACACTCTGGGGTTGGAGTAGATGGTTTTATACACGAGCCACAGAAGTTGTGCGTTTATTTATTTAAACGTTGTAGAAGCTAGTCGCACTAATGGAGCCCAGCTCTGGTGTCACAATGGGAGCTAACGTGAGCAGCTCCTGTCTAACGGGGACGGCGGGTGGAACCAGGCCCCAACTGGGGAAATTCCCGATGGCCCGGTTGAGTTCAGTGTTGTTGTTTTTTGGGCTGGTGTCACTCTAGATCACCTGCTGCTGATGAGAGGAGCTCTCCTGTCAGGCACTGGTGAGCTGCTGCCAACCCAAACCCAACCAGCTTCTGCTCCTAGGAACACGTTCTAGCTCAGACTGTAGTGACCTGTTATTTATAGTTTATAATTAATGTTAGGTATATTCCACAGCTGATGGAAAATGAGATTAAATAACCTGAACATGTTCTCCCACAGCTCAGCTCTGTTAGAAATGAGCAGATGTCTGCTTCAGCTGGACTACATCAAGTAGAAAAGTGTCCACAGATAACTGATCTTTAAACTTTAATATTGATTTTATTTCATTTCTAAGGTCTGGATGTCTGTGAACTAGGGCTGGGGGTAAACGATTATTTTTAAAACGATTATTCTGACGATTATTTTATCGAATAGTCGACTATTCTAATGATTATTTAGACGATTAATCTAACGATTATTTTTCTATTGCACAATTAATAAAAACCAGAAAATCTCAAATAAATTCCTCAAAAAACTTGATAAATGGTTACTGTAAGAGAATAAACACTACAGGCCTTCCATCTTGTATAACACTGCTTTTATTGTGTTGGTTGATTATGTTCTGGTGACATGTAGAACGTGGGAGTGCAGGCTGCTGCCTGAGAGGTGGTAGAAGACGGAGTGTCTTCATGCTGCTTTGTTTTGGTCACTTATGAGCGTGAGGCGAGTGGTGTTACGACCCTTCCTGGGGAGTTTGGCTCGTGTGCAAAAATGAAGGGACAATAACGGGATTTAAAAGTTAAAATGATGATCGGGTTTATTTACAACAACAATAAAACAAATCTTTCCATCCACATGTTGGGAATAATAAAACTAATTCTGTCTGTGGGGAATTAAAACGAAAGTACAAATAACTAGGGATGTCCCACTGGGCAAAGATTACTGGGTTCTGGACCAAAACAAGGATCTCCAAAGGTCCAAACTCTAAACTGGGCGGTTAAACCAAACTCAGGTGATATTTTAAACTAAACCAAAAACCCACAACACTCTAAATGTAATAAAAGGGAGATCTACACCACAAAAAAGATGAACTCTAAACCAAAACTTAACAGCTTATCCAAAGGGCAAGAAGCTGTTAGCGAAGATGCTAACAGTAGCTTTACCAACGTTAAGTTCAAGTTACCAAGTTTAAATAAACCAAAAACACCCAGCAGCAAACAGACCAGCACGCAGGAGAGACTGCTACCACCAAAACAGCTCTCCTCATGTCTGAAAGAAGCTCCTTAATGAAGGGAGAAACGCTCCCGGTGATGTTCTACATCTGCGGTAGAGACGGAGCAGCGCATCTGACCCCGGAAGTTGTTGTCCGTTGCCGGGAGACGAAGGCGGGCAAAACAGGAAAATAATCTAGTAGTGGACGGACATTGTTCCGGGTCTTCGGTATTTGGCGGAGATGTTAGGGAAGGCAGAGGAGAGGGCGAACTAGAAGAGAAACAGGCAGATTCCTCCTCTATTTACAAACTCCTGGGGATGCAACAAGTGGGCGTGGTGCGTCGACTACCGGATCTGACGTCAACGTATTTTTAGAATCGAGCCGTCGACGTCATCGACGCTTCGCTACAGCCCTAAACATCACTGAATCTTCTGATTGGTGCAAATAACACAATATGGTTAATAACAGGTCTGGATGAGGTTCGGTCTGAGCTCTGAAACCGCCCTGGGCCCGAAAGCCCTGCAGATACATTCAGTTTCTATAAACAACAGCAACAAATAAACAACAGCAGCTGAATTCTACTTTGTTCCTTAAGTCGAGTCACGTAGCTCAACAAGTTCTGCAGCTCACACGTTCACCAGCAGCTCTGCCAGCTGATTGGTTCTGTAGTAACTAGTGACATCACCAGCCTGGAACTCTAAACGCAGCCATGCCCCAGGACCCCCCCCCCAGAGTAGCTCCATACTCATCTTCTTCATGTCTGCTCTTTGGTGCTGGTGCACACCTTGTGGTGGAATAAGAACTTGAAAAAACTTCAAATACCCTGGTAAACAGCAGATTAAAAGATGGGCTTTGGTCAAGTGGTGTGTGTGTGTGTGCGTGTGTGTGTGCGTGTGTGTGTGTGTGTGCGTGTGTGTGTGTGTGTGTGTGTGTGTGTGTGTGTGTGTGTGTTGGGGGGGCGGGGGAGCATCTATGTGTCTGCATAACCTTCCAAAAGTAGGTAGTGTAAAGCTTCTTTCTGGAGTATTTCTCTTGACCGACAGCACCATCTAGTGGTTGACAAGCACATCACACAAGAATCTGTTGCCCTGTTTTTTTAAGATGGCGACTTCACGTTTCTGTTTATAAACGTGCTTCTGTAGCCGACAAACAGCTAAAACACGTTGTTTACGAGTATTACTCTCATGTTGTGTTCTCATATATTTATATTTTAGAGACCTCTGGGTCCCCCACTGCTAACGGAACCCCTTCATACCTCAGATGAACTGGACTCTGGACCAGCCTGGGAGCCCATGCTGTGCAGCGAGGCAGAAGAGGGTCAGTCTCCTCTCTCTCTGGAGCTTCTATACCACTCAGCCCGGGTTTGGAGTCCAAACGATGCTGTCATCGTAGCTGCACATCTCCTCATGCTGGAGACTGGATTCACTCCTCAGGTAGAAAAAGAGAAGCTGATTTAATGTCACCTGTGCAGATAAATTGTGTCTCTTTTGTGTGCTAAGGGCAATGAGCTGACAGCGGAGGAGATGCCTGCTGGATGGAGATCAGTGGCTGAAGTCCACAAGCTTGAATACGTCCATCCTCTGTGTGGGACCAGCCAGGTTTCTGTAGTGGCTGTGAGCATGGGCCCGTTGCTCATCATCAATGGTGAATCCATCTCCATCCTGCCACCACAATGATCAGGCTCATACCAGGTGGTGTGACGTTCAACTTTAAAATCATCCAGATGAAAGGATGCGGTTTTGTTTCTCTTTAGCGGCTCTGACAGAAGCAGGAACCATCTACTCCGTTCACAAACTGCAGCTGAACGCATCCAGCTATGTGACTGACGAGTGGCCAGGTACAACAGCGTTCAGTTGCTTTAACAAGCTTGATGTCTGATTTTAATTTTATTTATTATCTTTTAGGAGAAAGTGCTGCTGCAGCCTTCAAAAACCTGAAGAAACTTTCCAGAGTGTACAAAGACCAGCTGGTGTACCCGCTGATTGCTGCTGCCAGAGAAGGTACACATCATGCTTCTATCACCAGTAGAGTAGAGTACTGAAGTGCCCTGCTTCCTGGTCTTCACAAAAAGAGCATCTCAGGCTACAACTTTTACAAAGCTCTGCAGCACGTGTCCTGATGAAGACCAGGAGGCGGGAGCACATTACACCAGTTTAGAATCGCCGCATTGGCTCCAAGTGTGTTTCAGGATCCATTTTAAGGTTCTTTTAATGGTTTTAAAGTGTCTTAATGGTCTTGGGCCTCATCTTTCAGAACTGCTTTTACCTTACAAGCCCTCGCTGCCTCTGCGCTCCTCTGGCAGCCGTCTCCTTGTGATTCCAAAAGTCAGATCACACCCACGGCGTGGCGTCCTTCCAGTATCATGGCCCTCGCCTCTGGAACAGGCTGCCAGAGGACCTCAGGGTCGTAGAGGATGTTCAGGTTTTAAGAGCAGGCTCAACACTCACCTTTTTAGCTTAGCTTTTACCTGATCTCTGTTTTTGTTGCATTTCCTGTTTATTAATGAACTTATTTATTTATTTAATTCCATTTTATTGGTATTAGACATTTATAGTTTAGTGTTTTACTATCTCTTTAATCAGTTTTTATTAGTTATTTTACTCTGCATATTAGCTATTATTATTAATACTTCTTTTAAAGAATACTAACCTGTTGTTTTATGTAACCAGTCAAACCATTCACCAACGTAGGTTATCGGTCTCATCACGCGCAACAGTGCATCAATAAAATGTACAGCAGCTAATGGGCAGAGGCTCGCCTGTCGGGTTTTCCTTAGCCAGGGCTTCTAACACCGACTCCTTCTACTGGGAGTCTGACTGCTGCGCGATGTCCTTCCAGTGGTGGACCCTGCTCTCTTGCATATTGTCAGTTCCAGCTTCTCTGGTGTGTTTCCAGCTGCTTTTAAAAATGCAGTTGTTCAGCCGCTATTGAAGAAACCAGGCCTGGACCGGTCCGACTGTGTCAGTTATCGCCCAATCTCAAAACTTCCATTCATCTCAAACGCAATTCAGAAACTGGCTCTCACACAGCTCACTTCTCGCCTAGATGACGATGGGCTACTTGACCCTTTCCAATCAGGCTTTAGACGTAATCACAGCACAAAATCTGCACACATTCGGGTGGGTCCTCAATGACATCCTGATTCTGACTGACTCTGGCTCCCATGTGCTGTTTCTCTTACTCGACCTGACCGCAGCTTTCAACACTGTAGACCTCACCATCCTACTTCACAGGCTTGAATTTTGGGTGGGTGTGACCGGTACTGCCCTCGAATGGCTGAAGTCCTACCTTAACCATCGGTGTTTTAGTGTTCATGTTGGAGACTGCTCTTCTCCCAATGTCCCACTTCCATGGGGAGTGCCGCAGAGCTCCATCCTGAAGAAGAAGAAGAAGAAAACATCATTTCTATAGCGCCTCTCAAGATAAAAATCACGAGGCACATCACAAAAACAAAAAATGTAAAAATATCAAAAAGAATTTAGAAAATGGTTAAAATATATTTAAAATGAGCGAAAAATAGACAATAATAGAGCGAGTGAATAGATAAGAGGACACACAGGAGGATGGACCACCCCTGGTCGCAGCTCTGTTTGTCGGCGTCTCTTGGTCTTTTACGAAAACACGGTTTTAACTGGCTTTATTGCCTTTTAACCCTGGTTTTTAACCGATTTAAAAACCAACCGTTTTTAACCGATTTTAGCATCACCAACTTTTTAACAACTCGGTTTTATCTCGTTTTACATGATTATATTTTATTACTTGCTTTGCATGTTCTATATGATTATATTTTAGCACAGTTTTATTATTTAAATTATTATTTTACTGTCTATATGATTTTATTTATTACTTATTTTCTAACTTTTGTCATTTATATTAGCTCTTTTATTATATTTTTACTCATTTTAATCCAGTGTTTCCTCTGTGGGGGCCCTCTGCCCCGGGAGCGGTGGTCGACTGTAGCTTCCTGGGTGCTCTATAGGTGGGGGTCTATGCTCCCCCTCCTCTGAGCGCCCTGACTTAGTGTGGAAGACCTGATGCTGCCGGGGCAGACGGCTCCTCTGATGGCGTTTCCTTGCGTTACCATACTTGGCTCATCTGGACTCAGCCTAATATAATTTTTACTCGTGTGTGTGTGAGTCTGTGTGTGTGTGCGTGTGATTGCATATGTTTGTTAATGTTTTTAACCTGTTATGGGAATCTGGGGTCATTTTGTAAAGCACTTTGAATAACACTTTGTTTGAAAAGCGCTTTAGAAATAAAATTTGATTGATTGATTGATTGATCTACGGCTCCTTTCTCCTCGTCATGACGGCTCCTACCTGCGATTTCGGGTGTGGTGGCTGCCTGAGGCTCACCCAGAAGATCTCGGAGCTGGAGCAGAGGATCTCTTCGTGTCACCAGATCCAAGATCATGAGCGCGACATGGACTTCATCTTCGGCCGGACCTTCGCCACTGCTGGAAGTGCGTAGCTGACTGACACTGTCCCCTGCCAGCCCGACAAGGTTGTGGAGGAGCATGGATCCTCCGGGTCTCCTCGCTGGGTCGGGGCACCTGAGGTTACACCTGCTGCAGTGGAAGATCGCTGGCTACGTCTGGGGGCCAAGCCGAAAGCCCCCCGCAGCTCCACGCCGCTTCTGCGGAACGCCTGGACCACGGTCGGCCCTGGCCGCCGCTACGGTGGGACAGCGCGGGGCAGCTGTCGCTGCTCCCCTCCATCTGCGCTTCCTCTCACCAACCGGTTCGGCACCATGGACCAGGACTTCCCTCCACTGCCAGTACCTGGCCACCGTAGCCTCACAGGATCTGCTCCTAACCCAGGGAATCCCTCCTAGCTGCCGGAGCACCAGTTGACGTCCAGCAGCCGTCCATGTCGCGCCATTTCCCAGGCTGCCCTGCGCCGAGGGGCGGTACATCATACCCCGAACCCACGGAGCAAGCCCTCGGCGCAAACCACCCACCTTGGCAGCCCTGGGGAGCCTGTCTTGTACAGCAAGGGATCCCCTGCACAGCTCTAGCCGGAACAGGCAGCCACCGCTCTGATTATCGGTGATTCCATCATCAGGAAGGTGCTAATGAAAGGGGCCCGTACTCTGTGTTTTCCCGGAGCAACAGTGTCAGACATCATGGATCAGATCTTGGACATCATTCAACAACACCCCACCGTGAGTAAAGTTATCATTCACGCAGGCACCAACGACATCCACAAACAACAGTCAGAACTGCTCAAACGGGATTTCATTCGTCTTTTTAATATTTTAAAGAGCACACCTGTGTCCGTTTTTATTTCTGGCCCCACTCCTACCGTTGGCAGAGGAATTGGACGTTTTAGCAGGCTCCTATTCTTGAACACCTGGCTCTCCTCCATCATGGCACTGAACAGCACTGGTTTTATAGACAATTTAAACATTTTCTGGGGCAGGAGGGATCTGTTCGGCGCTGATGGACTCCACCTCAACAGACATGGCACACGTACCCTGGGGATGAGCCTGGCTTGTCCACGTCCCCCCCCTGCACCCCACACTGACCTCTGCCACTCCCACTCACTCGTCCCCCCCCTCCTGCCCCATCAGCCTGACCCCCCCTGGTCCAAGCACCTACAGCATTGATTTTAACAGTAACTCACATATCGGACTTGGACCCTGCCAAACCAAACACATACCTGTCATTATCAGCAGAGAGCGACCAATCAAACATAAATCTAGCAAACCCAACTTCAATAACCATAAACAGCTATCAAAAACCTCACGTTCAGTAAATCACACAGCCACTCGACCTCCAGCATCTCTTAATATGGCTCTTTTTAATGTTCGCTCTCTGCTGAACAAAACTTTTATTGTAAATGACCTGATTTTAGATTTTAATCTTCAGTGTTTATTTTTAACTGAAACATGGCTGAGTTCAGATGCCTCTGTTGTTCTCACAGAGGCCTCCCCAGCCGATTTTAATTTAAATGTTTCAACGAGGAATGGTAAAAGGGGAGGCGGGACTGCTTTTATAAGCTCATCAACACTTTTAGCAAAACCTGTTGTATTTGATAATTTTAACACTTTTGAATTCACTGCAGCTGTTTTTGGCATTCCTCAGATTTGATGTGTTACTGTTTCCAGGCCTCCTAGACACAGTGCACCTTTTATTCAAGAGTTTTTATCAATTTTACCCAACTCCTTTGATAGGATTATTTTAGCTGGAGATTTTAATCTGCACGTGGATAACCTTTTAGACCCTTTAGTCACAGATTTTTTAAACATCTTGAATTATGTGGATTTTACCCACCCTGGACCTGGTCATCACATATGGCCTGTCCACTGGTGTGTCCTCTGTAGTCGACTTGGCAGTGTCTGATCACTGTTGAGCATTTTTTAACATCACCAGCGTTATCCAGTACGGGCCTTCTTTGAGAAGTGTAAGGAAGATTAATCTAACACCTGAAGTGGCTGCTGGTTTTCTTGAAGCTTTTAACAATATCCCTCCAAGTAACGTCTCCGCCCCTTGTGATGCCATTATCAATGATTTTAACAGAAGACTAGAGTCAGCGCTTAACTTGCTTGCTCCACTCAAAACCAAAAAATTACTGTCTAATCATACATAACCTTGGAGAAATGAAAACTAAAGAGAAACTGCAGAGTGGCGGAGAGGAGATGGAGGAAAAACTAATTAACAATAAATCATCAGATTTATTTGGAACTGCATAAAACATACAATGATGCCACAATAAATTCAAGAAATGCATATTTTTCCAAAATCCTCTCAGACAATAAAATTAACCCTAAAATTATTTTCTTTACAATCAATAATATTCTCAACTCCAACCAAAACTCAACTTAGAAAACCCCCTCAAACACTTTGTGAGGAGTTTGCAGCCCACCTCAGAGGGAAGGTAGACACCATCGGATGTAACATCTTACCCTCTCAACGTAACGTGGTTTTAGACACATCTGAGAGTCTACAGGTGCTGGCCAGTAAATTAGAATATCATCAAAAGGTTGAAAATATTTCAGT